AACAAACAAACAAACAAACAAACAAAAAAAAAAAAAGAAAGACAGCTTTGAATCTTTGGTTACAAAGTAGGTTGAACTTCACAGTTTTTTTGTCTTTTCAATCCCCTTCCCGACCCCAAAAACCTACGAGACATCAGGGCAATATGGCAACTGACTTCTTTTTCCAACATCCTACAAGCTTTCTTCATCAGGGTAGACCATTGAGGATTCAGTTTAGATCTTCGCCCACAAACCTGTACAAACTTGTTACGCTCTTTTTATCTTTACACTATACACAATGTACATTCACACCAGGTTCACATTCTTAATCCACAGAGAAACGCCGCTGTTAGTGTTTAAACTCTACCCACTGCTACTCGGTCACGGTTTACGCTTGCAATGATGATCGATACTGTAAGACTGCCGCTCGCTGTCGGAGCGAAGGGTTCGGTGACATTGTTCCTCTGGGAAAATAGCAGCCCTATAATAAATAAAGAGTACAATTGAATTGACGGGTGAATCGAAATCACACGAAGTACGGTGGCTCTGAAAATAGACTTCTCGCTTTGAAAACTGCAATGCTAAAAAAATACACCTCTTTCATGGCTGGATTCTCTTTATTAAAAAAATAACTCTTCACAATTTGTCCAGCTGGTCCGGTCCGGGGCGGGGCAAAGGGGCGACCGTGGTCCGAGGGAGCGAGATGGGTTTCTGCTGCTGCGGTGATGCAAAGGCTTCAGGCGGAGGTGACGCTGGGCTGCGGCTGTCGTGGCAGGGAGTCTGCGCTCTGGTTGGAGTCCAGCTGAAGGTAAGGCTGAGGCTGGGCTTGGCCCGGGACGGGAGCGCTGGAGCTGGATTGGACGGTGAGCTGAGAGAGCTGATCGTTGTTGGCTAGAGACTTGAGCACTGCGTTCTCTCGCTCCAGCACAGAGTTCCTCTCGTAGAGCTCCTTGATATGCTCCTTCAACACCTCCACCTCCTCCCGCACAGCATACATCAGATGGCTTTTCACTAAATCCTGCGTCACGGTGCCAAAACATGACATCATTTCAGAAAACGGTACATCAGAACCAACATTTGCCTAGCTCATTTGCTTGAACTATTACACTCTTAAAAATAAAGGTGCTTAAAAGGTTCTTCACAGCGATGCCATAGAAGAACCATTCAGTCAAAGGTTCTTTAAAGAACCATCTCTTTCTCACCTTTTTAGAATCTGAAGAACCTTCTTTAGCCACAAAGAACCTTTTGTGAAACTGAAAGGCTCTTCAGATGTTAAAGGTTCTTTATGGAACCATTTAGACTAGTGGTCGACCGATATATCGGCCGATATTTTACATTTTTTCAAATATCGGCATCGGCCGACAAGTTTTTCTGTTTGGCAGATGCGTTCGAGGCGGGACTTTTATTTTGACGGTGCTGACAGCGACAGCGGCCTCTTGTTCGCTGTCGACGTTAACAGTTCTGTCTAATACGAATAGAAGTCTGGCTAATAATCCGATAGAACAGTTAAACAAAGGAATTAAAATGTATACAAAAAGTATTATAACGATTGCTTTTATATTATTAGTAATAGAAAGGCAAACATTATAATACTTTCTCGTTTGCCGTCAGCATTCAGCAAATACACATTTACATCATTTAAACAAATCTTTGAATGTCTAATGAAAATTTTATTTCACAAACCTTGCAAACTTAGTAGAATGCAGCTGTGAGATCTTGTGAAGTGTGCATGTGACTTTCATGATCGCGTGTTCTCTGCATGACTTTCGGTCCGTGCAAATTGAAATTTTATTTGATCAGTATTATATTATCAGCATTATTTATTGTTGGTATGTGTGCTCTCCGTGTATCTCGCTGATGCTGGTTGTGACGAGGTGAGATGAGTTATTAGAGGCATCTGTGTAGTTCAGTATCTCAGCTCACTCGTGTTCTGCTGTGATTTTATCATCACTAACTAAACAAACCTGATCACCTGCATCACACACATGCACTGATGTGTGACTCAGCTGAACTCAGATCACTGGTGTTTTTAGTATCATTGGCACTAGTACAGTTTTTCATATTTTGATGTAATTAATGTTTTATTAGTGGTCGACCGATATATCGGCCGATATTTGGCATTTTTCAAATATCGGCATCGGGCGATACGTTTTTCCTGTTTGGCCGATGTGTTCGAGGCGGGACTTTTATTTTGACGGCGCTGAGAGCAGCAGCGCCTGCGCACACTGTGTTCACATTCTCCCTCTTGTTTGCTGTCGTCATTAACAGCTCTTTCTAATACAGATAGAAGTCTGTCTAATAATCAGATAGAACGGTTAAACAAAGGACCTTACCTTGGCTTTATTTGAAAAAATATGACTCCCAATGCACACAAACTTCCCAGAATACTGAGTGCTCTGTTGGTTACAGTTTATTTCCTTTATATTATTATATATAATTATAATTATATAATTATATTTTTATTAAATATTTATTTATTTGTGAAAAATACTTTGTCATCTAAAGTAAAGTATGTTTATTCTACAAATTTATTTTTTAATCCATTTTCAAATGATTTCAAATTTCTTAAATATTAATTAAAATAAATACAATATCGGCTTTATATCGGCCATCGGCCACCCTGCTTTGCAAGATATCAGCATCGGCTGTCAAAAAAACAATATCGGTCGACCACTAATTTAGACAAACAAAGGTTCATCTATTGGCGCTTTTCCACTGCGTGGTACGACTCGGCTCGGCACGGTTCAGTACGGGATGGTTTGCGTTTCCACTGCAGTTCAGTACCGCTTTAGAGTGGGCGGGATTATTCACATGTCGTTATAGTTGCGCCGCCTCTACTACCACGACTCCTAAATAAACTTTTTCATTCCATTTATGTCCAAGACATTATTTCATGCTTCATCTTGAATTTAATGTTAGAATTATGGCCAGTGAAAATGCAAACATGATCCAGATAATTTCTGCTACATTTGTGGGTTCTACAACAGAATATTACAGATTTTGTGAAAAAAAACACTTTTTAAAAATGTTCTTCGACATTGAGTATTTGAACATTTTTCCAATATTTTGCAGATTATACATTATACATTTTGAATTCTTTGTCATTAAAATGTTTGAAACTTGACATTAAAGCTTTAGGCATTAAAGCTGATACATATATTTAATTTGAAAAATCTTTTTACTTTTTTTGCAGGGCTGGGATGCACGGCTGTGTTATTTAAATTTTAAAATAAAAAATATATGTATATATAAAATAATAAATAGAAAATAAAGAGTATATAAATACATAAAATGAAAAACTTACCATTGCTTGTTCTATTTTATTATCAATGGCAACCACACTTGCTTCAGAGGCACTGCAATTAGAAAAAAAAATCTTATTAAAAAGATCTGTTGCTTACAAATACATCATATCCATTTTGCAGAAGTGTAAAACCTGCACATTAAAGAAAAAACAAGCAGCACTGTTTCTGTTGCTGATTCTTTCTCCAAACTTCCTTTGTGTATGTTATGTTGTGGCACACACACACACACACACACACCCATTCAAAAGTGTCTAGGGTCAGTAAGATTTTTTTTAAAGAAATTATACAAAATTTATTGAGAGAGAAAAAAAAAAATCTAGGACTCGAACTCGGGACGCCCGAAGCGTTATATGTCAGCACGCTGCCCACGAGACAGCAAATGATGACACTGATTTAGAGACATTGTGTACTTCTCCCTACAATTTACTTGCACAGGAAAAGCAGATAAGCATCAACCATAATAGGTCCATTTAAGAGGACATGCATTTAGCCCAAAATCACACTGACACAATTTGGGAGACTAAATTGCTCTCCAAGTTGTTGTAATGCTATCTTTCACAAGCAGACCCACGTACACATGCATACATAACTGCTGAAGAGTTATACAGTCTCATAAAGGTCAAGAAGTTCAAAAGTGACAAAAAAAAGTTGAGTGCTGTCTTGCAGCTTCAGGCCACACAAACATGTACAAAGAGTGTGTGTGCTCTTTAATATCCACACAATAGCAGCAACAGGCATCTCATCTCATCCTCTATAATGCCACAGAGTCAAAATACTGACCAAAGACTATTTTAAACAGGATCTTTGCACCCAAGGAAACAGCATGTTGGGGAACTTGTTCGACTGACAAATTAGATCCAGTCTTGCAACATATCCAAGACCAGAGCAATAGCAGCTGATAACCTCGAGCAAAGGTATTTAAAGGCAGGCTTGTCCATGCAATCAAAGGATCGCTTGTCTAACTTGTCTCATTATTTAAAAACAAGATGCTGTGAGGTGAGAACGTAAGGTTATTGTCAAGAAATAGAGCTGACTCAGAAGAGAGATCACATTATAGTTTTCCCTATATATTTCATCATTGAGGAATTCTTTAAAAAAAGTCTAAAAATCTCGTTTCGTCTTGTTCTCGAGAACCCAGTCTCGTGTCTCGTCTCGTGGGATAAGTGTCTCGTCACACCCCTAGTACTTACGTTATCCAAAAAGTTCCCAAGGATTTGTAAATCCAGAGAAATTCCCATTTTAAATAATGACTCGTCCCTGTTCCTCCCTAGTCTTTGTCGCCATTAATGGCATAATATCCACACTATCCTTGGTTCCCCCTCATAGAAACTAGAAAAAATGCTGCTGTACAGTTAAACTAAATCCAGTCGCGAATAAAATGAAAATGAAAAGTGTTTAAATTTTTTTTTTAACAGTGTTGCGCATTATAACCAATCACACATGAGTCTGTTGAGTTTATGAACACAATGGCCAATCAGAGGCGTTCAGATGAGTCATCATCACCAGATGAGTTTTTTGTTCACTGACTGAACTCTGCTCTCACGCGAATTCTCTCATCATAAACAAAGTGCAAATGTACCTATGATGTAAGAGAATAATTCATCAAACAGTGTATAGACGGCTTTACTGATTGAAGTTTTTTTGAGAGTGCTTAGACTCGCGCTAGACTGAAGTCAGTCATGACCTTTGACAACGTAAATGTTCTTTGCTCGCTTTCTCTGCATAATTTATTCACTGTTTGAATAACTGTGGAAGGTACAGGTAATAAAAAATAATTAATTACTTCATCCGTGAACATGATTCGTGAACTCCATACATAAAACGACATCTCCCATCGTTCCTCTTTTCTTTATCCACCTTTTCTTCAACGCGGAAGCAAGCCTATGGGTGAGACTTCCGGTTCATTAGCCGCTATAGGGAAATAACGAGAAGAACAACAACGTGCAGTAAAACTGTTTGCACTACAAAACAGTGTGTTCATAATTAAAGGTGGGGTAAGCGATTTCTGGTAGCCAATGTTGACATTTGAAATCACAAAAACAAACACTATTTACACGGGTCCTACTTCTTGCCTTATTGCCTTAAGCCTTCTTTTGTTCCGCAGACGTTTTGTTCCTCTTTTGTTTTTTATCCACCATCTCTATCTGTTGCTCGGCTCAGCTAATGTCCGTCCTGTGCTGTGCACTGAACGCTCTCTCCTCCACATCATGAGAAGACACGCCCCTTACTGCTGATTGGCTACAAGTTTGTTTTGCTAGTCGGCCTGAATAATTTTTTTTAAAGCGTTTTTGAAAAATCTCTTACCCCACGTTTAAGATAATACATTAAAATAATATGGTAAGACACACCAATTTTCAATATCAAGCAGCAAAAGGAGCGGTT